TCGGCCTAGCAGAACTTGACTTTAAGTTTGAAATATGTTTTCAAAATGGTGGCCGTGGCGGCCATATTGGATTTATGATTGACCTGAAAAATAACAACACTTTGTCAGGACCATGAGTCGATCATTCCTACAAACTTTAAGTTCAATCGGTCCAGCAGAACTTGACTTTAAGTTTGAAATAGGTTTTCAAAATGGCGGCCGTGGCGGCCATATTGGATTTCTGATCGACCCGAAAAATAACAACACTTTGTCAGGACCATGAGGCGCTCATTCCTATCAACTTTCAGTTCAATCGGCCCAGCAGAACTTGACTTTAAGTTTGAAATGTAAAATGTTAACGGACGACGGACGACGGACGACGTACGACGTACGACGTACGACGGACGACGACGGACGAAAACGGATAGCAATAGGTCACTTGAGCTAAAGCTCAGGTGACCTAAAAAGAGAGGTCAAAATGGCAATGATGAAGATTTGCCAATGGTAAAAGAATATGAGACTCTTTCCTTCCCATGGGGAAAATTAGATAAGATACGAAAACTCTGCCGAAGGGATTTTCAAATACAGTAAAACCTGAGGCTCTGTCGAGGGATTTGCACCACATTGAAAATCCCAAGGGTAGAATTTTCTTACCACACACAATTGGGCATGGGAGAGTACCCCTCGAAACTTCTTTCTACCCCAGGACAGTTCTGTTATATACTCACAGGAATGTCATAAGATTTACAAACATTCTTAGTAAAGTGATAAAAAGGCTCTTGCAAGTGTTTCCAATTTCATGGAATTTGTTGCAATCTTTTTTTTCTTTTCATTTTAGCTTAAGTCGAAGCCGGGCTAAAATGAAAAGTTCTGTTTCACAATATCTCCTATGAAATGGAAGCTTATTTAAGATGCTGTCCTGTTAAATCTTGGTTCCACACAGATGGACTGGTATAAGGACGTCACGAGACCTATACTATGTCCTTCTGAGGTCGGACATCTTACATAACAGTGAACATGGCAGCTATTTATTGCCAAGATGTTTGGAGATCTATTCTGTATCTCAGCATCTTGTATAGATATATACTTAAACTATTTATGGCTCCGTATTTAGGATCCATGCGGCATCCTTTAAGATATATATCTTACATGAAAATAGTCAATCTGCCATTTATGACGGAGAATACGAATTCCGTGTATGCCGCCTGGATATCTCTGTATATAAGCCACTCCATAAGGAGTTAACACAGATGTGCCGTACCATTGCACAAGTTTGTAGTATACAGTCGGCATTTATGGAAATACAAATTGATTTTTTAAATGACTACATTATCGATGAAGAGCTATATGGCGAAGTTTGAATATCATACGTGGTCTCGTGTAGATTGAGTGTATAAATAAAACCAGAGGCAGTAGACTTCGGATACAGAAGCTGACATGATGGAGAAATACAGGTTCTGTCTCATTCCACATGTTTCCTCCAGAGACAACTTCCCCTAACCATACCTTTCCTCAATCATAAAACACACATAATTTGTATCAGTTTAAATACAGGCTATTTGTTTTTCTTCTTTTCTAAACAGTTTGTTTGTTTAGGGTTTAACATTCTCTCAACAACCGAGGCCATATGAGGACGGGTTACTAAACAGAATTATTTGGGTCTATTGAATACTGTAAGTTAAATATGAGATAAAACTACCTACATGTAAACATGGGGTACCTAAAGGTTAACATGAGATACCTAAAGGTTAACATGGGGTACCTAAAGGTTAACATGGGGTACCTAAAGGTTAACATGTGATACCTAAAGGTTAAGATGTGATACCTAAAGGTTAACATGGGGTACTTAAAGGTTAACAAGAGATACCTAAAGGTTAACATGAGATACCTAAAGGTTAAGATGTGATACCTAAAGGTTAACATGAGATACCTAAAGGTCAACATGAGATACCTAAAGGTTAACATGAGATACCTAAAGGTTAAGATGTGATACCTAAAGGTTAACATGAGATACCTAAAGGTCAACATGAGATACCTAAAGGTTAACATGGGGTACCTAAAGGTTAACATGAGATACCTAAAGGTTAAGATGAGATACCTAAAGGTTAACATGAGATACCTAAAGGTTAACATGAGATACCTAAAGGTTAACATGAGATACCTAAAGGTTAACATGAGATACCTAAAGGTTAACATGAGATACCTAAAGGTTAACATGAGATACCTAAAGGTTAACATGAGATACCTAAAGGTTAACATGAGATACCTAAAGGTTAACATGAGATACCTAAAGGTTAACATGAGATACCTAAAGGTTAACATGAGATACCTAAAGGTTAACATGAGATACCTAAAGGTAAACATGAGATACCTAAAGGTTAACATGAGATACCTAAAGGTTAACATGAGATACCTAAAGGTTAACATGAGATACCTAAAGGTTAACATGAGATACCTAAAGGTTAACATGAGATACCTAAAGGTTAACATGAGATACCTAAAGGTTAACATGAGATACCTAAAGGTTAACATGAGATACCTAAAGGTTAACATGAGATACCTAAAGGTTAACATGAGATACCTAAAGGTTAACATGAGATACCTAAAGGTTAACATGAGATACCTAAAGGTAAACATGAGATACCTAAAGGTTAACATGAGATACCTAAAGGTTAACATGAGATACCTAAAGGTTAACATGATACCTAAAGGTTAACATGAGATACCTAAAGGTTAACATGTGATACCTAAAGGTTAACATGGGGAACCTAAAGGTTAACATGAGATAACTAAAGGTAAACATGATATACCTAAAGGTTAACACGAGATACCTAAAGGTTAACATGAGATAACTAAAGGTAAACATGAGATACCTAAAGGTTAACATGGGGTACCTAAAGGTTAACATGTGGTAACTAAAGGTTAACATGAGACCTAAAGGTTAACATGAGATACCTAAAGGTTAACATGAGATACCTAAAGGTAAACATGAGATACCTAAAGGTTAACATGAGATAACTAAAGGTTAACATGAGATAACTAAAGGTTAACATGGGGTACCTAAAGGTTAACATGGGATACCTAAAGGTTAACATGAGATACCTAAAGGTTAACATGAGATAACTAAAGGTTAACATGGGGTACCTAAAGGTTAAGATGAGATACCTAAAGGTTAAGATGTGATACCTAAAGGTTAACATGAGACCTAAAGGTTAACATGATACCTCAAGGTTAACATGAGATACCTAAAGGTTAACATGGGTACCTAAATGTTAACATGAGACCTAAAGGTCAACATGTGATACCTAAAGGTTAACATGAGACCTAAAGGTTAACATGAGATAACTAAAGGTTAACATGAGATACCTAAAGGTAAACATGAGATACCTAAAGGTTAACATGGGATACCTAAAGGTTAACATGAGACCTAAAGGTTAACATGATACCTGAAGGTTAACATGAGATACCTAAAGGTTAACATGGGTACCTAAATGTTAACATGAGACCTAAAGGTTAACATGAGATACCTAAAGGTAAACATGAGATACCTAAAGGTAAACATGAGATACCTAAAGGTTAACATGAGATACCTAAAGGTTAACATGTGGTACCTAAAGGTTAACATGGGGTACCCAAAGGTTAACATGAGATACCTAAAGGTTAACATGAGATACCTAAAGGTTAACATGTGGTACCTAAAGGTTAACATGGGGTACCTAAAGGTTAACATGAGATACCTAAAGGTTAACATGAGATACCTAAAGGTTAACATGTGGTACCTAAAGGTTAACATGGGGTACCCAAAGGTTAACATGAGATACCTAAAGGTTAACATGAGATACCTAAAGGTTAACATGTGGTACCTAAAGGTTAACATGGGGTACCTAAAGGTTAACATGAGATACCTAAAGGTTAACATGAGATACCTAAAGGTTAACATGGGGTACCTAAAGGTTAACATGTGATACCTAAAGGTTAACATGAGATACCTAAAGGTTAACATGGGGAACCTAAAGGTTAACATGAGATAACTAAAGGTAAACATGTGGTACCTAAAGGTTAACATGGGGTACCCAAAGGTTAACATGAGATACCTAAAGGTTAACATGTGGTACCTAAAGGTTAACATGGGGTACCTAAAGGTTAACATGAGATACCCAAAGGTTAACATGAGATACCTTGAAATGAAACGGATGAGATTCAAGGATCCATCTTATCACATCAAATCAAGAATTTATACAAATAGTCAAGAAATTCTTATTTTGCCTTACCGGCTACACAAGTCTTTTAACATCGCTATCTTGACTTCTCTCAGTTGTCTCCAACTTGACTTTACAGTGTCGACTTTAAGTCTACGATGCCATGTCTATCTATATTAAATCTGATGTAACAATGGGCGATATAACAGGTTAGAATAGAACATGGGTTTAACCACTACATAACACAGTTAATGGGGTAAATACAAACAAATTCCCATAAGTTTTAAACTGGACACCATAAAACAGGTCGACTATCTAGCTGAACAGCTGTGTCACCAAAACCTCACAGAAATAATGACACACAACATTGTGGAGTAACATACACAGCCTCCGAAGCCGGCAGCACATGACTCAAACCAAACATGGATGCCATGCGTTGAGTACACACGCAAACACACAAACACTAAATAACACCAACACCATTTATTAAGTTAACAAGCTAGACACGTCATGACATAACGATTGCTACATGTGTGACACAGGTTAATTCTCCCCACCTCGATCTGCAAGGAATAAACACATCCCCCATGTGTAGGTGTGACACTCTATCCCTCCCCCATACACTTGTGTGAACATCAACCCCATCACCCCTTCATCATTTTCTATTCTCATGTGTAGGGTATCTGTGTCCCCTCCAGAGGGGGTGTCACCCTACAAGGGTATGCAAGTGCCACCCCCTGTACACACAAAGCGCATGTTGCCCCTGTGTCGTGCGTGTGTGTGTGTGCGGTGAGAGGTGCTAGAAGTAGAAGAGGTAATTACCACGAGCTGATCCTGCTTCATCGGCATAGGAACGTACGGGTACTGTACGTAGAGGTAGGGGTGCATCCTGACTCCGGATCCAAGGTACCTCCTTGAGCCAACAGGTAGTGTTTTGAGGCGAGGAGCGACACTGGCTACCGAGGTCGGAGATGCAGCAAGTTGTAACGCGGCAATGGTGCTGAGATGATCCAGATCGAAAGTCCGATACACACACGCACTGCTCCGGTACTTAATTGACTTGATCCTCCGTGTCTGTGTGCTACACACTCAGGTCTATGGGTGTAGATAGACGTGCTGGCTTAGTATTTCACTATACACGTCCGTCTGTCCGTCTGTCTATCTTGGAGTGGCTGGTGTTTGTCGTCGCCAGTCCACAGTCCTAGCCTGCTAACTGTAACCGTGGGTACACACTTGCCGTGGTAACAACATGCACGCCTGGCTGCTGTGCCTGAACGTCGGTGTCGCGCTGGTTTGCCTTTTTACACGTCCTGAGCACCGCCACGCCTGACTGCCTAAGAGTGACTCTATACTCCGGAGTCGTAGATGTGACAGACCCCAGCCTATAAGGCTTAGGACCCTGTAACAGCTTTCACTAACTCACACAGTCACAATAACAATTCAATATTCAGTTTTCAGTGCCTTCAACTCCGAAGAGGACAAAGCTTACACAATTATCTCACGTTTGGAAATACTGTAAATTGCCGGCGATTTTCAATGGGTTCGATAGAAAACCGTTTGTGTTGTAGTAACCGGGCGATCTATTATTCTCGCTCCGTGTAATGAAAACCCCAGTAGACTTGGTGCAGTCTGGGCTCCCCAAATATATTCAATTTGGCCAGTGATGTATCTGCTTTCATACACACATTTTAGTTTGAAAAAAAAATCTCTACCTCAACTTTTGCTTGGTTGTTGGGTCCAGCACTTACAACATGTTGACAATCCAGGACAGTTACAGGGGCAACTCCTCCTACTTCTCTCGCGACAAAATTAGTTCAAAAACATGTGTGAAGCAAGCTGGTTAGTGTGATCCGTGTATCTCCCTTGGGCCCCGATCAATCAATCAGTGAATCATGGCCCAGGTAGGCTAGCTATATCTCTCCCAGCGACCAGTCAAGCATACCCTCTAACCACATATTTCTAAGCACAGCCCGTCAGCTGTGACCAGTATTATTAACACCTCAAAAAGTTATTCTTCCGTCAATTCAAATCCTTTCTCATGCGAATTTGTAAAAGCATGTATAGCCATACCAAATCTGCACCGGCTTTTCTTTTATTGACGTTTGAATATTTCTGAAAAGCCTTTAGCTTGTCATGTGTCCTGAGCCAAATGTTTACTGAACAAGATAGACTTTCCTTACTCTGATTTACACAGGACTGGCACAGAGATAGAATGATAAGCTTTAACGTAACATTTCACAATTGAAAATAAACCGTTTCACTTTCTAATCAATTATACACAAGTTGGGGAACAGAATCTAGTCAGTTCAACTATGAATTATATATTTATGTAATTTATGAGTTCAGTCGAATGAAATATAGAATTTGAAATATTTCGAGTTTTCCAAGCTAATCACACTTTGAACTGTGCAGAACCCAAGGATGTAGTGCGCATCTCCAGTCCATACTTAACCAACCTCGATGTCTCTCTAGGGTGACATTGCCTGGACGCTTAGCTGCCTGGATAAAAGGACCCTTCTCGTTTGATAGGATTAAGGGACACTGTTGCTAACTGTCAAACCATAAAAATCTCGGGAAGCAACTTGGCCGCGCTTTTATGTCCGTATTTATGTGGGGATGGCCAAACTGGCAGTGACAGTGGGATGGCAGTACGCCGACGTGTACAGACCAGATCCGTGTGATGACAATAATTTTGCCACTTCTCCTAACATCACTCAAAACAAACACTCACAATGTTTAGTTTGCTTAACATTTACAACCAGAAACAGCAAAGGGTTCCTATCATCGTATCTAACAAACGGTTCATTTCCCTCGCTCAACTTCTCTGAAGATACCTGACCTTTTTACATGGTGTACGACATTCTGAGGCTGGTAAAGGAAACTCCATTTTTCGTTTGACCGTTTGTTTTCAATCGAACCTGTGTACCGTATCTCCTCCAAATTACTATTTACAAACACTGAAACAATCTCAAACAATTTGAGCACACTCCACTGCTAGCTTTGTAGACATCACGGTTCTGAATCCACTATCTGTTAATGAATTATCAATAGCCATTAGCGGGGGGATCAATGATATAAACAGACAAGTCGCCCCGAGTCCAGACAGGGGTCACTCGTAAACAAATGACCTCCATTTATCAAAGAAATATATCTAACAAACACAGGACCACTATTAAACTAACAACCTTCACTCTTGAATCAACAAATTTCACCTACAAGTAACACAGACACAAGGTCAATCCAAGCGACCTTCACCTACAAGTGATATATCTCGCAGATAAAAGGTCATTCTTAATGACCTTCATTCTTAATGACCTTCACCTTCAAATAAAATTAATATATTCAATAGTCGACAAGTCAATTTAAGCGACTTTCACCTGACACAGGGTCAATCTGAATGGTCTTCACCATCAAGTAACACAACTATATCTTAGACCCAAGGTCATTATTAATGACCTTCACCTACTGGAAACATAAATATAACTAACAGACACAAGGTCAATTCAAACGACCTTCACCTACAAGTAAAGAAGTATGTCTTACATACAAAAGTTCATTCATAAGACCTTCACCTTTCAACTAACAAAAATATATCTTACAGACAAAAGGTCATTCTTAACGACCTTCACCTTTCAACTACCAAAATATATCTTACAGAAAAAAGGTCATTCTTAACGACCTTCACCTTCAAGTAACATAAATATATATAACAGTTTAACAGTCAATTTAAACAACTTTCACCTGACACAGGGTCAATCTAAATGGCATTGACCTTCAAGTAACAAATATAATTAAGTCACAAGGTCACTCTTAATGACCATCATCAACATGTAACCAAAAAATGTAATTAAAATCAAGCCACATATCACTGTCATTCAAATGATTTTTACCTTCAAATAGACAAAGGTCAGTCAGAGAAAATCAACCATCACATACTAAGAAATATATCTCACATTTGTCAGGGAATTCTGGAAAATTAAATTCGACTTGTTTCAATTAATTTCATTTCATCAACTGCTGGAATTTAAATGCAGTTTCAAAGGTTGCACAGAATTTTAACAGAGATGCTTCAAAGCGATTTGTAGTTAAGTAAATCAAAGAGATATTCGTCTGATTCATTTAAACAAAGGTCAATTTAATTGTACACCATGACTTTCGCCATTTTACAGCATTTCACCTGTTTTAATTACGTTATTAGTTTATAAATATAGAGATACTTCCTTAAAAATATTTGAGATAATTAATACATGCAAAAAACTGATTTTTTCAAATTCTTTTATGATTGCTAAAAGGATTTGTGAAAGAGATTTAAAACAATCTCAATCTATTCAAAGTAATATGTTCAACGTCGTAAAAAAAGAAGCTTGGATCTTGTTTGATTTAAAGTGACCTCGGCTATCAAAATAATCTGATTTGTTTGTCCTCACAATATTTCTTCCGGAAAAAAGAAAATCTAAAATAACTGTCTTTGAGATTATTTGATGCATGGGTAGCTACAATTATGGGAGGTCGCACCGACAAAAATAAGCAGAATCTCTTCAAGTCAAAACTACATAATGAGATCATGCCGGATCAATTTAGAAAATCATATTAAACTGCAATTCACTTTTCCAGGTAATTATCGCCAATCGATATGTTAAACGTGCGAAGCCCTTAAGCTTTAAAGAGCGAGATACTATCGTAATTCTTAACGTGCTTTATGTGTTTAGTCGGAAGTCGTTCCTGTTCGATCCCCGGGGCGACAATGATATCCAGGTAACACTCTGCCGGTACACAGCTATTTATAAGATTGTTGGCATTGTAAAGGCCTGTATCACTGCTAATCCTTCCAACCTGTTGCCTGTCCCTATGTAGCCCTACACTCAGCATGTGTCCACCTTTCTAAGGTAAACTGGAAATATTCTTATAAGTTACAATGTAGTCTACAGAAACAAACTCCCAGCTCTGTCCTGAATTAACCTCAATGATTCGCTTCTACAGTGTTTCAGGTTATATTGTGTTGTCAACTATTTTTGGTACTTTCTTTAATTTCCGTTTTCTGAATTATCTGTGTACAGATCAGAGTGTAGGATTTTATGAAATACTTGTGATATCATTAGCACAAGATTCAATGAAATGACCTTCTTTTCACTTACATAGTTACCTACTTGCCAACGTTTTGAAATTTCCTTGGGTGAAATTCTGCATGCTCAAAATTGAATTATAAATAAAATGTGTATAAACAAAATGGTCCTTTAAAATGACAATTTTTAGTTTTTGTTTCAGGTGAAATCATTAGATCTTACAATATAGGAATAGTTAAGCAAATTCACCAGTTGAAAAATATTAAAATCTTAGGGTCCAAAATCGGGAGTCGACCCTTCCTAATTAGGGAGAGTTGACAAGTATGCAGTAATATTTTGAAGACTGCAGTATATATTCATGACTAAAAGAAACAAGTGAGTATTACCAGACTCTTATGAATTAACTATATAATGAGCTATAATAAATGATTGTAAAATAATAGATGGAATGATAAACTTTAATAGGTGGAATAATGACCGCTAGATTAAGTGTCTTTGTCCGATGAATGAACTAGTTCCTGCTACAGGTTTGCTGGGGGGCATACCAGCTACAGGGTTGCTGGGGGGCATACAAGCTACAGGTTTCCAGGGTGGAAGTATTACTAGTCACCTGTACAGGTGATGACAGCCCGAGGGTGAGAGAGGTCACCACTTGTTCTAGTACATGTTTCAGAGGTGTGACTATTTCTGTTTATCTGTCAAAACACTTCTGGGGTGTCCTAGAGACTTTGAAGTACATACTTGTCAACCTTTCAAATCTTTCCTGGGACTGATGGGGGAGAGACCACATAGCAAAATCTATGATTACTTAAATACTACTTAAATTTATTTAAAGGTAATGGTGACACAGCCGGGAGCCTCCGTCAGAACATGACTATTGGTATTAGCAGTGTTCAGGTTCTAGTATGGGGTGGTTTTATTTCGCCCCACAAGGAAGTGAGGGTGTCTACCTGTCAAACTGGCAAGGTGTCTATCATTAATACTGCTCACCTAATACATCATCAAATCACAAAAATCACACCCTGGTAACTTATACAGGGTATAAATTCACATCCTAGTACCTCATAAAGGGTATAAATCACACCATGGTACCTCATACAGGGTATAAACCACACCCTGGTACCTCATACACGGTATAAACCACACCCTGGTACCTCATACACGGTATAAATCACACCCTGGTACCTCATACAGGGTATAAATCACACCCTGGTACCTCATACAGGGTATAAACCACACCCTGGTACCTCATACACGGTATAAATCACACCCTGGTACCTCATACAGGTTAGAAACCACACCCTGGTACCTCATACAGGGTATATATCGCACCCTGGTACCTCATACACGGTATAAACCACCCCCTGGTACCTCATACCCGGTATAAATCGCACCCTGGTACCTCATACAGGGTATAAATCACTCCCTGGTACCTCATACAGGTTATAAACCACACCCTGGTACCTCATACACGGTATAAACCACGCCCTGGTACCTCATACACGGTATAAATCACCCCCTGGTACCTCATACAGGGTATATATCACACCCTGGTACCTCATACAGGGTATAAATTCACATCCTGGTACCTCATAAAGGGTATAAATCACACCCTGGTACCTCATACAGGGTATATATCACACCCTGGTACCTCATACACGGTATAAACCACACCCTGGTACCTCATACACGGTATAAATCACACCCTGGTACCCTATACAGGGTATAAATCACACCCTGGTACCTCATACACGGTATAAACCACCCCCTGGTACCTCATACAGGCTATGAACCACACCCTGTTACCTCATACAGGGTATACATGCATCACATCCTGGTA